ATGGTAATTTCCAAGAAGGGTTTTGAGCCCTTTTTCTTAGAATTAAATCACATTTCTTCACCTCCTCCTCCCACCCGAGAGCCCCAGTCCTTAAAACTACCAGACTGAACTGGATTTGAAATTTAGAACTCAAATGTGAAATCAAGATCCATGCTTGGCAGAGTCGACGTGGAGCCGGGAAATATTTGGAGGAAGTCAGAGAGAGTGTGCTGGTGGGGTGCTTGTGAGTGGAGGGAGGGAATGAAGACGGGTGTGTGTGTGTGTGTGTGTGTGTGTGTGTGTGTGTGTGTGTGTGTGTGTGTGTGTGTGTCTGTGCTTCTCCATTAGATGGCTTAAATAAATTAACCTGCCTTTCTGGGATCCCCACAGAAGCCACGTAGCCATTTCTCTCTTGGGTATGATTTTATCACCATCCCCTTGAGGGAAGGGTTTTAGCCTTAAGGAATGGGCTAAAGATGGGGGGTGGGGTGGGGTGAACGACCTTTTTCTGTTCTAACCTCCACAGTAGTCAGTTCAAACTGTTCCCCTTCTCATGGTACGCCCCCCATACACTCCCCCTTGACTCTGGCTAAGGCCCCTCCATCTGGAAACATTTAAAATATGTACAACAAATTTAATCTTGTGCAAGAGATCTTGGTATATACACTACATATCCATTAAGCTAAATTGTCGGCACGCAATCGCATTTTACACAGTTCTGTCTGGCCTAGGTTTACATACACACAGAGGCCATTCCTGTCGGTCCCAATTACCTTTCCTGACTACACCATCATCTTCGGCTGTATGTCAACAGTATTTCTCCGAGAAACTCTAGCCACTGAGGTAATAAGAGCAAAGGCTGGTGTTCAAGACAGAGGTGTCCTCTAGAGAGCTCTAGAACCAGTACGTGGTGAGTCACTCTGACCCTAACCATGGATGTTTCTTGAGCTCAGCTTTCGAGACCGTGACCCTGTAACTCATTAGATGTGGGCTGTAAGCACCAGTGTGTTACTTGACAATCGTACAACCTTGGGGGGAGTTATTTATTGATTTTTTTGGCGAGTCTCAATGCCCCAGTGTACAGAATGGGTACAATAAATGTTTACGTCACCGCTCTCTTTGGAATGAGCTGCTGCCTTGTCAGATCCTAAGGATGATGGATGGAGCACGGGGAGACCCTAAAAGTACACACTTTCAGTGAAACACACGAACCACACTTCTGACACCTGACCTGAGCATGATGGCCGCAGCCAACGATCAGCCCCTCAGAACGCTATTCCGAAAGGCCTTTGCAGAGTCGGGGTTTTCTAAGGCTAAGGGCAGCATCATTTTGGCTGGATGCTCTCAAGTCTAACTGCACAGCGACTGTCCTTCAAACCCACACTACGCCACTGGTCCCTGTTCATAAAGAACGATCTGCATGTGTGCCTGGGGGAGGGAGCCTGAGAAAGACGTTTTAAGGCTGCTGGAAAGAGCAAAAATGCTTAATTAGTGTTTCCTGAGATCCCCAGGGAGGCTTCTGGAAAGTACAAAGGTGAGGGTGCCATTAACATGTCGGATGAATGCCTTTCCCCCCGAGGGGGAAAGTACGGTTTTATGAGCTCCGTTACAAACCCTGTGCTCAGTGGAGTTCAAAGGAAAGAGTTCAGGGTTCAGAATTTATTACTCTCCTCTGGAGAGAAGCAGCTTTAGCGGTTATTCCCCGGTCCTGATGTTGGCCAGCGTGGAGGGATTAGGAACTCCAGGGGACTTTGGATATTCTGTCCAACTGTGGTCCTCACTATGAAGACCTGTTGCCGGAGTTCAGAAAGAAAACACCTGTCCACGGGCTCTGGGTGTGGACTGCTACCATTTTTTTTACTAGGCCAACTTCATGTACAACCCCAGGGTCTGTCGGGAAAGGCGTCTTTCAGGCCTAATGTTTGTGCCTAGCCATTTCCATGCCGGCTCCAACTCTGACACTCTCAAAAAGAATTGTTCGTGTTTAGAGTTCTGCTGGGGAACTGGGGGGCCTGGATGGCTGTTTGTGCCCTTGGAGGATAACAGAAGGGGTACATGGTCTGAAGGGCAAACAGCGGACCTGGAAGTTACCTGTAGCCTTTTATAAAAGGGAGTCAGGCCCAGCCACTCTCCTCTCTACAGTGTAGACGTGTGGGTGTGGGGCTGGGCTGCTTGTGACAGCTGGAACGTGGCTAGCTAACTGAAGAGCAGATCTTCTCTCCCGGGGTTTCGCTGAGATGTCTCTGCAGGGCTGTTCATTCCAGGCTTACTCTTGTTAAGCTTGGTCATTTAAATATTCATTTTTGTAGACACCAGAAGTATGCCTTCCAACATAACTAAACACCGCCTTTTGGGGGTTACTCTGAGTGAATTTATGTTTTCCCCAAAATCAAAATAAAATAGCACCTACTGAGAAGGGTCAAGCCTCACAGCTACAGTCCTACGTGGTTGGGAGGCCAAGACAGGAGGATCGTGAATTTGAAGTCAGCTTGGGCAATATAACAAGACCCTTGTCTCAAATTCCCTTCCCCAGCACACACTAGGCAGGGGTGTAGGTGTGTGTGTGTGTGTGTGTGTGTGTGTGTGTGTGTGTGCGCGCGCGTACACACGGGGACAAGTGCGGTGTGCATCTCTCAGTGGTAGAGCATGCAATGAACTGTTACTTTCACTTTACAACTTTCCCCTAATCCTGGCACCTATTCTTGGGCAGAACATGCAGATGGAACTATGGCTATACACTCTGGACATTCCCAGTATAACATGGGGCTTTAATAGCTCATTTTTCGAGGTATGGCAAACAATGCTGGTTTCTTTTCTTCTCTTCTTTTTTTTAATTTTATTTTATGTGCATTGGTGTCTCACTTGTCTGTGTGCCTGGGTGAGGGTGTTGGATCCCCTGGAACTGGAGTTACAGACAGTTGTGAGCTGCCACGCCTCTGGAAGAGCAGCCAGTGCTCTTAACCTCTGAGTCATCTCTCCAAGTTGCACAACGTTGGTTTCTGACTTGCCTTGTCTCTACCCCAGAAACTGGGAACTAAAGTTATCTCTCATCCAACCTCCTCTACAGCTAGAAGAGTTATGCGGTTTTAATGAGATTTAAGTGAGCATACGTAGGGAGGGAACCTGTCCCCACACTTTTCGTGAAAACATTATGCTTATGGGTTCAGGAAGTATCCACGGGGCCCTATCCCTAGCTGAAGAGCTACTGGAAGCTGATGGCTGCTGGGGGAGGGGAAGGCATTTTGATTTGGGGGTATGATCCCCAGGATGCTGTTCACCTTGATGGATGACGGGACACCCATGTACACATGGGCGCCACTAACTAGACTCAGTGGGTTATTTTAAAAAAAAAAAAAAGGAAAGAAGCTGGGTGGCGGTGGTGCATGATTTTAACCCAGCACTCAGGAGGCAGAGGCAGGCGGATCTGTGAGTTCAAGGCCAGCCTGGTCTACAGAATGAGTTCCAGGACAGCCAGGGCTACACAGAGAAACCCTGTCTCAAAATCCCACCACTGCCTCCCCCCGAAAAAAAAATGGAAACAAAGAAAAGAGGAAGATATGAAGTAAGGAGTGAAGGGGACATATTATGGAATAGGGAACTGGGGAGGGGAGGCTAGGCATTGGGGAGCATTGATCAAAATATATGTGTACATGTATGAAATTCTCTGAGAATAAATTAAAAAAAAAAGACAAAACAAAGCCCAAACTCACAAAATATATAACAACAACAAAAGCAAAGTCTTCTTACTATGAAAAATCCATCTCTAAACCATCATTACATTTGGTTTCTTTGTTTTCTGGAACAGGGTCTCATTATCTAGCCTTGGCTAGCTTGAAATTAACTCTATAGATCAGGCTGGACTCTAACTCAAGAGATCTACTTGCCTCTGCCTCCCAAACACTGGTATTAAAGGTGTGCACCACCATGCCCCACGTCATTTGATTCTTGAGACAATCTCTCTAGGTAGACCAGGCTGACTTGAACTTTTAGTGACATTTCTGCTTCTGTTTCCTAAGTGCTAGGATGATTGGCATATGTCACCATCCTTGGCTTCATACCATTTCTAGAATTGTAGGAAATACAGTAGGATTTTTTTTCAATAGACAAAATGACAAATGCATTTTTTCAATGAACTTCTCCAAACAACGCTTGAATGACCCAAGTTCCCTAGTTAACCACAATCAAGTGAGGTGATACATAGATGAACTGCTGAGCTACAAGGTATTGAGAAAAAATGCCTCAGAAAATATTTCCCTGTGTACATGAAGACAAGACTTCCGTCTGAGGAACAGAAATCAGGATGTCCCCTTAGTCCAGTGGTTCTCAACCTTCCTGATGCTCTTTAATACAGTTCCTCATGTTGGGGTGACTCCCAAACATAAAATAATTTTTGTTGCTATTCCATAACTGTAGTTTTGTGACTATTATGAATCATAATGTAACTATTTTTGGAGATACAAGGTTTGGCAAAGGAGTTGTGACCCACAGGTTGAGAACCACTGTCTTAGGAGCTACATTTGAACTAAACCACAGAGAGAACTGGATGCTGTGGATGGAGATGAGGGCCCTCCTGGCAAGGCTAGATGTGGACAAGCATGAGAAGCCGAAAGTCATACGCGGTAACTGAGTTCCTTTGGTGTGTGCTGGGGAACAAAGATCTGATTGAAAACTTAGATCAAATGCAAGTCTGGAAGGGCAATCGGAGTTAGACTTTGCTCTGAGCCACGAGGTGCCACTGAGGACCCCTGAGACACGAGGAGTCAGAACAGCCCTTTGGGAATAGTCACTATGCAATAAGTGGGAGGAATTAGAGGAGGTGATGAGGAGGAGATACAGCTCACTAAGTAGGAGACGGTGAGGGTATGAATCCAGGTAGTCGAAGTGAGAACAGGGTGACACCGGAGACATTAGTACATGGAAGTCATGCTGGCTATTGTTTGGATGTGGGGTGGAGGTCAGGGAAGGCATAATGCACAAAATATTTTGTTGTACAAAATAGAAACAAAAACTTCATGTGGTACCTCTGGAGCCGAAGACAGGAATGGTTTTATGTAGATGTTGGAATCATGAACCTTCAGGTCATGGTCCCCAAGTCCCCTGGTCACTCCAATAGTCGCCATTACCCGGGCCTAGGAGTATAAACAGAGAGTTACCAGCAATGCACGCAGTGACGGCATCCTGTCCCGGTTCCTCTTGCTTATCAGTCTGTGCTGTTGGCTGACAACTGGGATGTGTAGTATTAAAAAGGGAGGGCTCATCAAAATCACGGCTCTATCTTAGGCTTTACTTAGGTTGCTCTGCTCTGCCTTTAGCTTTCTTCTGTAGAGCCTGGAGTGAGGAGCGCTGAAAATAAACCGTAACGCGTGGATCATCTACAGCTGCCGAAATCAGTTCATACTAAATCAAGAGCATCCACCCACCCATCCACCCATCCACCCACCCATGATCCATCTATCCAAACACACTCACGCTACAAGTATTCGCTGGATCCTAGCTACATCCTCAGCAATATCAGAGGCAATAACAGAGGATGAAGTGGATCTCAGGCAGCTCTTGTCTTTGCAAATCTCAACTATTAAGTTTTATGGCTAGAGAAAATAAATCTTTTAGAGACTCCATGACCTCCCTCAATGTTCCTACAAATTCCCTCTGGGTGGAAAGGAACAGAACGTCACTAGTACATCTCTGCCTTTCTCTACTTGTTTATAATGGGTTATGGAATTAACATATTGCATTAATATCTACACTGTCACCTTAAATATCTCCTAGAGCATCTAATGTGCACACACTACATGGAAGGGACACAAGGCTTCATCTCTACTATGAAGAAACTTGGTAGAGGAGGCAAGGGGTACAGATCCAACTAATATATAAAATGTACTCAAGTTCTGGAAGGCACACAAACAATGGGATATGTGAATTTGGAGAAAACAAAAATTCTACTGAGATGTCTCATGGTGGAGGCAATACTATTTGGTGCCAAAGATGGACAGTATCAGACAGGCAGACACAGAGGGAGAGACCTGCCTGTCAGGCTGAGGGATGTGCAACCTAATGAATGGTGTTAACATTATGTCCCCAATAACAGAGGCCATGCAATGCTGCAGTTCAAAGACTTGAGCTGGGATTTTCCTCTGTGACTTGAGTAGTTAAGAGTGAATTCCTCAGACAGGCAAGGATGAAGTAAGTAAAAGCAGCAGCACTAAGTTCAGGACAGGAGGATAGACACTTGCCACCAAGTGACAACCTAAATTTGATCCCTGGAACTCATACAACAGAGGGAGGGAGGGAGAGAGAGAGAGAGAAAACTATAAGTTGTCCTCTGACCTCTACACAGGCGCTGTAGGTTCATAAGTAAATAAATGTAAAACAAACAAAAAACAAAGAGAAAGAAAGAAAAGAAAAACCCATCACAATCTAATACAGTCTGTCCACCCTTGTCTCTTTGAAGCGCCGTGGATTTGTGGTCGTCTCAAGTCAGAAGGTAGACACGGTTCACGGTACTGTAGAAATGAGACGATGATATTTTGGGAGCCGGGCTTGAAACAGATCTCATACTGAGGATCAGGCTGGCCCTCAACTCACTGCAATCCTCCTGCTTCAGTCTTGAGCCACCATGCCGTGTGTGTGTGTGTGTGTGTGTGTGTGTGTGTGTGTGTGTGTGTGTGTTGAGTACCACAGGACTGTGTGGAGATCAGAAGACAACCTCAGGAGTCAGTTCTCTCCTTGCTTCTCCATGTGTGTGCTCTAGGGACCAAACTCAGGTTATCAGGCTTGGTGGCAAGTGTCCTCACCCCCCTGAGCCATCTCACTGACCCCCATGACACATTTATGGTCCCAATTCAAAGGGTATTAGAAAAAAGACGACAGGGATGTGAAGCCAGGGACCTGGGACCAGAGAGTCGTCAGAAGCCCTCTCTGCTGGGCTGTGAGGCTGGACAGTTCTAGTGAAGGAGTGTTAGCTTGAAACGGGCACGTTCCAAGTCTCTTCACATGGCCCTTCTGCCCTCTCCCTCCAAGAGCAGCTTCTCTGGCTGGAAAAACCACGTGCCTGCGTTTAGAGCTATTGGAAGTGACTGAACTCGTTTACGCGTATACAGGTGTTACCCACACGGATACTTAGAAGAATTTCTGCAAATAAAAAGTAACAGCTGTGAAAAATACACTGCTCTGCCTGAGTAGGAGCTTGCAAAGAGGGGGGGGGGGAGACTCCAAGAAACCAAGGAGAACTCAGACAGGGATGGTGTGCCCACTTTTCCTCCAGGGTGGGGTAGAGACGTGTCCGGTGGTTTTCCACGGTGCCAACGAGCGACAATGGCAGAATTCACCCATCCCTCCTCACAGGACTGCCTGCCTGCCTTTGTGAGCCGACTGAGAGGCTTTAGGATATCTTGGTGAATCAGATGTTGCAATTAACCAAAAATCTTTTAAATCTTGTTGTTGACACTGCACTTCCCTGAACAAGACCAAGCCCGCTAAAAAATTCCAGCACGGGTCGGGGAGGTGCTCTGCAAGGCTTGCCCCTGCGAGAGGAGTTAATAGGCAGCTCCTGAGGATGGCTTCACACCACGAACTTTAGGGCAGCATGAACTGGATACTATTAAGTGGGTTATAAAAAAAAAGAAGAAAAGAAATGAAGTTGGGGGTGAGATGTGTTGGAGAGGGTATGGAGCGCAACTGGAGGGGAGAAATGGAGTGATGGGTATCATGGTAGACATGTATGCGATTCTTTTTTTTTTTTAAGATTTATTTATTTATTATCTATACAGAAGAGGGTGCCAGATCTCATTACAGATGGTTGTGAGCCACCATGTGGTTGCTGGGAATTGAACTCGGGACCTCTGGAAGAACAGCCAGTGCTCTTAACCTCTGAGCCATCTCTCCAGCCCATGTATGCGATTCTTAAGAAGAACAATTAGTTTTGAAAAACAACAACAATCTCAGTGCTGATGCTAGCCTTCTAAGGAAGACGGCAGTCCGTTTTCCCGTTCAGGAGAGCACATGGAACATACACGAACAGCTTACTCGGTGCTTCCACATGTATCAAGGCCAGGGACCCGGGACCCAGGTTGGGGGCAGGGGAGCGGGGGGCGGGGACAGTACTGGGCCCACACTAGAGACCTTGCCTTGATAGTCTTGTGAGTCGTTTCTTCTGGATATATAAATACTATCTAATACTGGTAAACAATTCGCCTGAAGAATCTTCTTACTGGGGTCACACTGCCCACTTCTAATGGAACCTCTTAGCTCTGAATGGAAACAGGCTGTGTTCGTAGGAAGTGTTTAAATGGGTATGGGTTCAAAGGTCAGTTATCTCAACAGTAGCATCCGGACTTCCTCCGAATCTGCTCACAGGTCCCATGTCTACAGCCTTCTTTGAGTTCAATCACGCCATTCAGCGTCTGCTTCTGACAGGGACGCTGGGACCCAGTGATGGTTCTGTTACCTCCGTCTAGGCTACTGATCCTGTGATCACAGTGACACTCTGGAGTCCCTTTGATGGTTGGGGACAGAGTAGAAAAGCTGGCTTGCCAAGTCCGTTTGTACGTCGGTGGTGGCACAAAAGGACACTAGCTGAGAGCAGAAAGCCAGAGTTCCACACCAGGGCTGTCCTCTGCCGGTGTGTGGTTCGGCCTGGGTGGCTGTCACCTTGAAGTTCTAGCTGCCTAGCCCACCACGTAGAGGTGACCCAGCCAGCTTGACTGGCCCTCTGAGCTGACGTCAAGTTATAAAATAGGACGATGCGTGTGGAAGTGGCTGTGTTGAAACCTGTAAAGAGTGACTCAAATGGGCAGGGAAAGGGGTGCCATTTTCACAAAATTGACTGCGCACCCACACACACCCTCAAATCCTGCCACACTCTCTGGACCCCCAAGACAGGTGACCCGAAGAATGATGGATGCGATGTTGTTCAAAGTTGTCACGGCTACAAAATCCCAAAGCACTGAGTGGAGCAGACGGACCGCCCCAGACGACACAAAGCCAAGCCCACGAGGTCACAGATGCCTCCTCCCATTCCAGGGATGGACCCGTGCCTACCTTCTTGCCTTCTCCATAAATGAGGGGAAACTTCAAGTCTTCATCCTCGATGGTTTTGTATGCCCTGGAGGAGGAACAAACCACATTGTAAAACAGGTTTGCACTCAATTAATGACCTCCGCCCTGAGAGGGGCTGTTAGGATCCTCATGTTCCTAGGGATCCCATTCCTTGTACCACACTGTCCGCCTCTTTGTTTACACAGACATTCTCTATTCTCCAGACAGAAGGGTGTGTGTGTGTGTGTGTGTGTGTGTGTGTGTGTGTGTGTGTGTGTGCACGTGCACACATGTACACCTTGACAAGCCAGGAAATACCAAGTCTTCGTATTCTTAAAGAGGGAGGAGGTTACTGCGATTAGTGAGAAGGGGAAATGGACCTCTGTTGCTAGTGCCTTGGCGATAACGAAGCGATCCAGGCACTGGACCCTGCTTGCAGCCCGCAGCTGTGATCAACAGCAGTGCTCAGGGGGTAAATGGAGTGTGCACACCCTCCAAGAACCAGTTCTCACCTTCGGGGGATGTTTACATCAGACATCTCGCATCGGGATGATTGGGGGTGGACGGCACAGCGCCCGCCCGTGTGACCTCTGGATGAGAGTCAAGGTGGGTAGAAAATTGTTTCACAATAGCTTTCAGAGGGGCCATTCGCCACACAGAAAACTGCTTGATACGTCACTGGTCTGCGGCAGACGGAGATGTCTAGATGTCACTGCTAGTGAATGAAGCCCTGTGTCCTAGATCTACCCTTAAGCAAGTTAAAAAAAAAAAAAAAAAAAAAAAAAACAAGCCGGCACCTTAGCCAGCTGGCTGTCCTTTGGCCAAAGCAGATCTACCTTTCTGCCTCGTTTTCCTCCTCTGCAAAGCGAGGACAGAGCACAAGACACAAAAGGCTCATCACTGAGCCTCTGCTCATTAAGGACCCAATTAAGGGCAGCTATTAGTAGACTTTAGCAGGTAATTAATTTTTCGTGTAACACTTCCCCTTTCTGCAAAATGGTGGTGGTGGTGGCGGTGGCGGTGGCGGGGGAGATATCACTAGTTATTCACCACCCCAGAATGAATGTGTGCTGGGGTCCTCAGGACTTCATTAATCAACCAAGGTCATACAGTTATTAGGAAGAGTCAGTACAGGCAGAGTAGGGTAGGTTTAGAATGTATGGAGAAAACCCATTTTTTAAATGGCCTCTCAGACCTATACTTTCGGCAGCTAGAGAGTGAAGGGGAATCAAACTTACGGACTCTGTTGATATACAGAAGCATGCAACCCAAATGAAAAGGCACTGAGAACAAAGTATGACGACGTGCGATAAAGACGACACACTGGACCTCATTCACTGCACGCTAAACCTGGAAATTCAAAGTTTTTACCGAGTGTGCACCCTCACCCAAGGCAAAAGAAAGCATGCCCGGTTGTCCAGAGAACTATCTGGACATGCCGTTCTTCCCTGGGTTAGAGAATCGGTGAGCTTGTGCCATCAAATCCACCTGGGTTCAAGTTCAGCACCAAGTAAGTGGGCGTGTCCTCTGGTCCTCAGTATCCACATCAATCAAACCAGGCGAGTCGACAACGATGTACAGAGCTGAGTATGTGCTCCGCACAGCTATGCTCAGAGTGCAGGAAAGCCGCCACAGTTCCCGGCAGGTGAGCCCAGAGTAACCCAGAAATTGAATTTTCAAGAAAAAACCAACAACAACAACAAAAAAAAACGAAACCACCACAGCATTTCCTTCCCTTAAACCTATCAAATTAACACAAAGTGGAAATTAGCCACTTGGCTGTTTAATATACTCACACGAACTATTTTAAACACTGCGGTACATAAGCCACTTGGGGGAACAAATAAAGCTATTATTAGCATCCAGCCCCAGCTTAGGGATCAACAGGGTTGAGTGGTTCTCAACATCGGCTGTATAATGAACCACCTGCCAAGGCTTTCAAGCATCCTGAGCCCCAGGCCACATCCCGGAGCAGACTCTCCGGAAAGGGACTTGGGCGTCAGGTATTTTGTTTTCTGAAAGCTTCCCTGGAAATGCTAACGCTAACGTACAGCCCTATTTGACTCTGTTGTAGACCGAGCTCCGGCGAGCTTGCCTTGGAGGTGAATTAAGCGGTGAGGCCCTCATCATTTGACTATGGAGAGGAGAGGAAGGAAATGGGGCTGAGAAAGGCTCTCCAGTGGGCATGAGCCGGCATTCAAGATGCTGTGTGGGCGAGAAGACCGTCTTAGACAGGGAGGCGGTGTGGTAAGAGTCAGGCACAGGGGAACGGCCGGCCTTGGGATCCTAGTCCAAGGAGTTTGGAATTAGGAAGGAGACAGACGGCAGCAGATCTAGAATTAAAGACGGGAAAGCACTCCCTAGAGATTGGCTATGAGATTCACCTGCCTTGGGAAGGCGGAGGGAAAAACTGTTCTCAGATCATCAAATCCTCTCAGGACACAGGCCACCAGGACCACAAAATCCATGTCACACAGCTCAGAAAGACAGACCCACCACACTGCCTTTGGAGTTGCCACCCTGGCACCATGGCAACTGAAAAAATTCAACGTTATATTTAAGCTTATTAATTTATCCTTAGAACCAGAAAATTAAGGCAGAAACAAGGACCAGATGGGTAGCTCAGTGGGTAGGCGGCTTGCAGGAAGCCCCAAGCACAGCTGGGAGGCAGGAGAGGGCAGATCTTAAGTTCAAAGGCACAGGAAGGTCATCCTTGGACATACAGTGTATTCCCAGGCCGCCTCGGCTACAAGAGACCCCATTTCAAGATGAATTAAAACCAGAAATGAACAACCTTGGGAAAAGAAAGAGATACTCTGTTCCCACTGGTGTTGGCTTTCAATAAAACGTGAACCCTTTCCTCCTCCTCCAGTGACACACAAGCATACTCATTGTACTGCGGGAACGTACAACACGTTCTCCCACGCACTCTTGCCGGGGATCAAGTACAGTTCACTATATAAGTGGGCTTCCACGCGCCGAGGAATAACAACGCGAAATCCTCGGTACCTGGGGTGTTGCTTACCGCGGAGCGTGAGGGAGGCCCCGGGGTGCATCTCAGTCGCAAAAACCAAACAATAACCAAAAAAAAAATAACAAAAAACCCTCAAGAATCAAAAGTTGGCAGCCAGATGAGAGTCTGTATAGATTTAGGGCTAAGAATAATTCCGGCAGGTATAATTTATTGGGGCAGACACTGGGCTTGGGTAGTTATGTAGAGTTTCTAGAATCAGTCAGGAGAGCCCATCTTACTGATGGGGAAACAGGGTCAGGGAATGAAGTTACTTTCCCAAGATCACACATTAAGTGGATGGCTCTCAACCATTTGGAGGAAGCACTCCAAAGACGTAGGCTAGCGGGCTAACCTCTGGGGATGTTTCCTTCTGGCCAACAAGCCTGGAATGAGACCACTCTGAGTGGGTAGCCAGCAAATATTTGATGTGGAAAAGAGAATTTTTGGCAAGTGGGGACAAGAGAGCAAAGCCATGGCCTGGCAGCTGATGAAATCTACAGGAAGGAAGTGAGATAAATAACGGAAGTGACTGGCTGGGTCCTCAAACCTGTGTCTGATCCCTGCCCACTTGCTCTGTGGCCACAGAGGCAGCTTATCTCCATCCTTCAGAGGACAGAGATCCTCCGACCTCCAGGGCAGTGAAAGGCCTCCTCCTGGTCCTGCCCACTTGCTCTGTGGCCACAGAGGCAGCTTATCTCCATCCTTCAGAGGACAGAGATCCTCCGACCTCCGGGGCAGTGAAAGGCCTCCTCCTGGTCCTGCCCACTTGCAAGACCCTGTCTTGTGTTATCCTTCATCATCCTCGTTCAGACTAGAGCATTCATGCTTCCGGCCTGTCCACAGCTCCCCTCTTCTTCACCGAGGGGAGGGGAGGAGGGGAGAGGAGAGGAGAGGACACCGAGCCAAGGTTGTCTGATGTTATAACCAAGAATGGATGGCCATAAGACCAGTTCCTTTCTTCTAGATTCTAAGATTTGGAAAATTCTGTTAAATGAATAGAGAAAATTCAAAACCAGATCACTCACCAGCTTTATAATAATATAACCGATCAGGGATTTTAGTCCAGCAATCACTTGTTCAAAGACAGCAAACATAAAAAGCATATGGAAGACTCTTAGATCACGCTTACATGGGGTCAACTCCTTTATGAATATTTATGAGAGGAGAATGAATACAAGGCTTATAAAGGGGTTACTACATTCTTGGCTTTTCCTACCCTCAGATAAACTTTTTAAGTAATAGTTTCAGGCCAGGCATGGTGGCAAACACCTTTAATCCCAGCAATTTGGAAGCAGGGGGCAGACAGAGCTCTGTAAATTCAAGGCCAGCCTGGTATACAGATTGAGTTCAGAGCTACATGGAGAGATGCTGTCTTCGAAACAAACAACGTTTCTGTCTGAGAACTCTAAAGACATCTGGAAGGAGCTGTCTCAGTGTCCTCTTCCTTAATTCTTTCAACTATGTTTCCTAGGACCTTGGGGACCATCCATCACCACTTACGCCACCATTTACTCAACACATTTATTAATCAAACATCACAGCCTGTGACAGGGGCCTCTGTGGGTTTTCTGGTCTGCCAGTGTCCGCAAGACTGCCACTTATCTTAAGTGAAAGCTCTTGAGATGTGGTCTAATTAAGAATGAAATTATTCTTTTGATTCCTACCTTGTTCTTGAAAGATCAAGGAAACATATTCGCACTATCTATATTGCCAGGGCATGAGGGGCTTCGGCGTCACAGATTGAGACTGTGAGTGAAAATAAACAACCACCACCACCAACAACCCCCAGCCCACAACCAAACAAAACAGACCCCTGTCCACAAGAAAAAGATCTAAAAAGGTTTCCGTGGCGAAGTCTCACCTAGTTTATCGGGGCACACAGAATAGTTTACTTTGAATAAAGGACTCTTATCACCTTTATTAACTTTACCTTGTTAGCGTCAGTCTATTGTTCTCACCCACTCAGAAATTTTGTTTTCATTTCTGTTTTCAGACAGGGTCTCGCTATGTAACCCTGGCTGTCCCAGAACTTGCTATGTAGGCCAGGCTGGCCT